ATAGTGTATTGGGGACCATAACCATATATTTATAGGTTAATCCTAGGGTTTCCCATAATCCCCTAGGATTAATGGACTGGTTTCTACTCAGCAAGACACACCACTAAATGGGAAATCATAGGCCCATAATTAAGATCACTTGTATGCCCATTAAATAGCCCAAATATAATTGCTCTTTAATTTGTTACCCACATATGAATTAATTATTAAATTAATTCCAACAATATATCGAAAGGTCAACCTTAAAAATGTTGCTAAAATGCAAAGGTTTAAAGATGAAGTAAAAATTCGAAACAAAAAAAAATGTTCCTAGAAAAGTTTCGTTACCGCATTCAACTCTAATATCTGATCTCATTCTTTTGGAAGTACGAGTAGCTATTCATTTTCAACCATGGAACACATTACAAGGAAGAAAAATGCAATGCTAGTACACTTGTTTAATTGTACCAACACAGCACTTGATAATTGAATCAGTTCAATGCTTTCAGCTAATTGACTATTTTGTTTAACATCTATATTGAAGGAGTTTTCTAGTCCACCGTGGTTGCTGACTCAGCTATTCCACAATACATAGCTGAAGGATGTGTTGGCAGGAATATTTAGCATTGAGTGTTATGACAACAAGGAGAATTCAAAGCAAAGGTAATACTTGAAAACAACTTTACTTGCTCCATTCAGAGTGTTGAATATGTGAAACTTCAGACATATGATGGTTTGGAAAGGGTGTTGTTAAACGTCAAATATGTACCAAAGCTAAAGCACAATTTGATCTCTTTGGGTGAACTTTATAAAGTCGGTTATTCTATAAGTCTGAAAATTGAGTTTTCAAGGTGTTAGAAGGTTCATTATTAAAACTGAAGGAGAAATTAACGAATGAACTTTACATTTTGGAAGTAAAGATAGTAACTGGAGAACTAGAAGTAGTTACTAATAAAATGAAACCTTTTTATGACATAAAAGGTTTGGACATATAAGTAAAAAGGGTCGGGATATGCGACAATGTGGGCGTATGGATAATCAAGTCTCTAGCTGCATGAATCTAATCGTTAAACTCAAAAGAGAAAAGTTAGATTGATTATCTTTATGGTCAAATACTAAAGTAGACGGATTAGTCACTATACTCAGGATCGAAACAATCCACAAGCTTGGTAACAAAGCTTGAATATTCTTTGTCAATGCATCTTAAGTTCCACAACACAAAGGAATATACCAAAGAGTTTTGCATTTGGAAGAGGAGAAAAAACTCTCACTCTATTCTCAACTCTTCAAAAGACTACAAGAGGGCCTATTTATAGGATGAGACCATCGCCCATTGGATTGGACAAAGATTTGAAAAACAAAAATAAAACGCTAAAATCTAATGGAAATAGAATAAAATAAATGCTCCAAGATTCTTCCATAATCTAAAAAATACTTGCCTAAAACCAATAGAGAAAATAATTCTTAAAATAAAATTAAAGGCAAAAATCTAAGACAAAATAAAATATCTTTTGATAAAATAAAGAAACAACTTTTCTTAAATGAAAATGACGACAGTTGGGCAGGCATGGACAGGCAGGTGCGTGCATTGGCACAGGTGGTGTGGTTGTTTGCAAGGAACATGTGCATGCATGAGGGCTCACGGGGGCGCTGGACATTAAGGTTCTGCGCAGGCAAAGACGTGCGACTGGCGTGTAGTTTAGGGGCTGGGTGCTGGGCTTGCCTTTTTATTATTCTCTCTTACTTCATTTCATAAAATATATTAATTTAATAGTTGCAAAATATATTTATTTAATAATTTTTCTTTGATGATTAGACTTCTTCTCTTTTACGAGCAAACGATCATTTTCCTCCTCTGCACACCATTTCACATTTTTTCAAATTAACAAAATATAGTTAATAACTTAACTATTACATCATCGTACCATAAGTAAAATAATCGTAAAAAGGTAAAAGGACCTTTAGAACCATTTCTAACCCATCTATCAACTCAATTCTTACCATTTTTTTACCCCTTATTTTTAATTACATTGTGATCTATTGGGTAAAAGATCCCATTATTTATTTGTGTTGGAGCCACGTGTCCTCCCGGTGAAAAGAAAGACGACCTCCCCCTCAATTGGGTGCTTCGTTTTCATCTCTTACATTTGTTTCTTGCTCCTCAGGCGCTGTTCATATTCTTCAATTCCAAATTCCAAAATCCCAATTTCCAAATTCCAATTTGATTTGAGGCGTTTACTGCAGTTTCCTCAGATCTACTCTCAATTCCAAATCTTCCGTCGACACAGAATCGGAATCGGGAGGAAATGTCGAGCGACAGCGACGACGAGGACGAGCTGCTGCAGATGGCTCTCAAGGAACAAGAACAGCGAGATGTCAATTATCTCACTAAGTCTCGCAAGCCCGTTGCTAATTACGTCCAACATCCGTCTCAGACTCGGAAATCTGCTTCTGCCGCCGCCGCTTCTTCCAAAACCAGTGGCAGTAATGCGCAGCCTAAGGGTGGTCGGAGGGTTGTGGACGACGACGATGATTCGGAGGTGGAGATGCTGAGCATTTCCAGTGGCGACGAGGATTCCACCAAAGATCATCGACCCTCTGCCTCTGGAGGTCGCGCCGGTAGGGCTAGGTCCGCTGGGAGGGACGATGATCCGGTCTGGGACGGCGAGGAGCCTCACTGCTGGAAGCACGTTGATGAAGACGAGGTTCTTATACATCGTTATCTCTGAATTCGCTTTCTCTTCTAGTTTGAGTTGTTTTAAGGAGAGTGATTAAATTTCATCTTCCCAAGTTTCGTGGAAATCGTTTGAGAAGTATATTTAGATGGGTAGCAATCTTTAATTTGTCAGATTTTTTGGAAATGGGATTCAGTAACTAGCAGTTCTACGCATTTAGATGGCTGCAATCAAGTTTTATCTATCTTTTTGGGTTAATTCCTTCGGTCGCCCACTTGGGTGGGGAGAATGCTGACTCAATATCTATCTATAAATCAATCATCAATTGAGGATGAATACTATTTTCTTTCACAGCTTGCTAGAAGAGTACGTGAAATGCGAGAGACAAGAACGGCACCCGCTCCTCAGAAGTTTGATCGTAAGGTATCTGCAGTCGTTAGACCAGGACTCAACCATTTGCAGTCATTCCCTCGTGGCATGGAATGTATTGATCCACTTGGGTTGGGGTAAGTTTCTTTCTGTCTTGGATTTTGGAATTGCTTCAGGATCTTACGACTACTACTGTTGCAAACTTCTGTAACAACTTTTAAAACAATGCAAGTGTAGGTGTTTTTTTGGTGATGTTGGTAATAATTCTACTTCTAGGAGGCTTAAGTTATCATATCCTTTCAATTTATGCCATGCTTTAGAACTCAAGGAAATAGTTGTACAACCTATAGAACAGATCCCGTTCAAGTAAGGTCGTACAATTTATGCCGTGCTAGACTCCCTTTATCTCGAAACGAAGACTTTTTTTTATTTGAGAAGAAATAATTTCATTGATAAGATGAAATAAGAGAACAAAAAAGTGGGGAAAGCCCATTCCAAGGGAGTAACAAAAAACCTCTCCAAGTATAATGGTGAAAAATAGGAGAACAATATGACAATATAAACTGTAGATTCAGAAAAATGGTCGTTAGGCTGCTCCATTTCTTGAAATATCTGGTGATTGCTTTCCATCCAGATTGCTCGAGTGAAATGCATCCATAAGACCTTCTTCTCCTTTTTGAAGGGGTGACCCACCAGAAAATAAGCCAAGAGTTGTTTTGCATCAGAAGGGATAGGGGTGTACCAACCAAATATGTAGAGCATTTTGTTCCAAAGCCTAAATGAGAATGTGCAAGTGGTGAAAATGTGGCCTTGGGATTTGGTGCTGCCTTTATAGAGAACACACTAGTGAGGAGAGATTGCCATGTAAGGCATTCTCTGTTGGAGCTTATTGTGAGTGTTTAGCGCTTGTAAACTAACCTCCCACAATATCAATATGAATTTCACCTTTTTGGGATAATGTTCTTTCCATATTGCTTTGTAAAGAGTGGAGGTCTCTTTGGTCTGTGGGCTTTGCAACGTATCATGAATCAATGACTGATTTGAAAAAAGACCGGATGGGGGGTGTGCTACAAGAGATGGGTCTCTCTCTTTGTCTTCCGTTTAGAGTGGAGAACTGGTAGAGGGAAGCGCTTAACGGGTGGTCCCTAAGAGCAAACTGAGAATTTTGTGGGGGTGTGCTGCAAGTGTCTTTGGAAGGAAAGGAATCAGAGGATTTTCAACAACAAAACTTCTCCTCTTTTAGTTTTTTGTAACACTGTACAGCTCAATACCTCTTTATGTGCTTTTAAACATAGCAATTTTTCCTATAATTACAGCTTAGTGGTCAGGATCAAGCAGATTGGTTACTTCGGGTGGAATATCCAGAAGAAGTGTGGTTCCAGTAGGGTTAAAATCCTTTATAACCAAACCAAGGATGGAAGTATATTTTGGAAAGAGAAGCTGTTTCCCACTGGAAAGATGAAATTGTTGTCCTTTCTCCTTATGTTTAGTGACCGAAGGCCCTGTCAAGGGTAGTAACACCACCGTTTTGCCCATCCAGGAGAATTCATAGGTGTTGTCACACCCTTTATGAATTGCTTGAGTGTCATACTGCCATGGCTGTCCAAGAAGGATACGACAGACATCCATGTCAAGCACGTCACAAATGATTTGGTCCTTTAGTTATTCCCAATAGTCAAAGGGACAGTGCAAATCATAGTGACATGAGCTTCATCCCCTTTCTTTATCCAATTAATATTGTAAGGTGTTGGGTGAGGAGACACCTTGAGATCGAGGGCAGACACTAATTTGTTGGAGACAATATTCTCTGTGCTCCTCTGTCAATGATAACGTTACAAACTTTCACATTGATGGTGCAACCGAGTTCGAAACAAAGAATGCCGTTGTGGGAAGGAATCCGTTTTGGGAGTAAGAAAAATCCTCTCAAGGATACAAGAAATTGGGTCTCCCTCATCCAGTTCAATAAACAAGCGATCATGCTCATTGTCTAGATCAACCTCTTGGTCAAAATCCTCGCCATCATCCACAATATGGATTGCCTTTCGTTGGGGACATTCATTCGGCAAATGGCCAACCTGCCCACAACAAAAACATTTGCCTAGAGTTGGGCGGGTGTAGGCGTTTGCTATCTTCTTGGTAGTGTGTTGATCCCCAATTTTCAGCTCTTCCCCATCTTTGCCTTTGGAACTAGAAGCCGCACCTTGAGTTGGTAATTTATCAACAACAGATGTTCCTTTTTTATTAGAAGCAGAAGTCGTGTTATCGCCAATATTACGGCGCTGGTATTGGAGCTTAAATTTATTTGCTTGCTATTCTTCGATGGTGACAGCAGTGGTGATGGCTTCATTTAAATATCCGATCAGCTGTATTTGTAGGCGTTCTTTGATGTCTGCACGTAAACCACCTACGTATCGTGCCACCTGGTATTGCTCATTCTAACCAAGATTCGTTCTTGCCCCTAATTAATGGAAGTCTTCGGTGTACTCTGCTATTGATCTTGACCCCTGCCGACAGCTTTGGTACTGATTACAAAGAACTTGTTCATAATTAATAGGCAAAAACCGCTCCTGCATTAGTTTCTTCATTTTCTCCCATGTCCGACTGGTAGCTCACCAAAATGTTGTCAGTTTGTCTCTAATTGTTCACACCATGCGGATGCGCTGGCTTTGAGCTTTAGAGCTACAAGCTTCACCTTTTTATTATTCGGGGTACTCATATAATTGAAAAAACTTTCTACATTCTTGATCCATTCAAGAAAATGCTCAATGTCTAGCTTACCATCAAAACTAGGTAAATCTATTTTCATTTTACACTCATTGTTGTCGCGGTAGTGTTGGTCGTGAAACCGATTGTCCCTCCTATCAGCTTCCCAATCCTGAATATCTTCTTCATCGCTAGATGAATCAACTAGAATCTCTCGTCGGCGGTGGGCAAGGAGGTTTCTGTGATGGTTGGCATGAATACCTCGAGGTTCTTGAAATCTTCTTGGCGCTAGAACGGGATCTTGCAACAATCTTGGAGCTGGTTGCAGGTGATCTTGATTGCTTGCACCCTCTGTTGCAGTTCTTGATCCGTTCTACCATGAATTGGATGCAAATTCATGTCATCCAACCGTGCCACTATATCGTGTAGAAGCTGACAAATCTTCACCACATTTCTTTGGACGTTTTCAAACGCCCATTCAACCATCATTACACGAGTGGTTGTGGATTGTGGAGAGAGGACGAGTTTGCTCCGTCTATTTTTGGGCAAAAGAAGAATCACCAATGCTGGTCGTATTTTTTTCCCCGCCATTAGAGCCTAAGAACAAGGTGCTCTGATACCAATTGGTCTAACCAATGAGAGAGTTGTGATAAGAATGTTCAAACTTACAAGTCGGAAATGACTCCTATTTATAATAGAGGAGTCTCGGGTAAGGGAACAAGCCAGCTAACCGAATGACTTTTAAAACAAATAAGCAACTAACAGACTAATCAACTAATAAAACAGCTAACTAACAAGAATACAACTAAAGACTACATCACTTAGCCATGATTCTCCAAGTTTGGAGGGCTACTTTTATTAGTCTCTTGGGAGGGGCCCCCTCGTCCCCCTGCCCTTAAGCTGTTGCTTTTGTGAATGAAGTTTTTGTTTCCTATCTAAAAAAGGGAAAAAAGACCAGATGGTTCTAGTCTCCAGACCCACCTGTCATTTTCCAAAGAGAGATTTTTTGTTGCCAAGAGCTGAAGAAGAGAGGTACATACCACTATTCCAGCATCGTTTAGGTTTCTTCTGAATCTAATCTCCTAAGTAGCCAATTCTTTGGACCAAAAATCCTCCATGGAAGCAGATCTATAAAGGTATAAGGTGTAAAGAAGGGGAAATTCATACAAAGCGGTTCATTAGTCAGCCATGTGTACTTCGAGGAGGCTATTTCTCCATTTCCCACTTTGATGGAAATCCTATTGAAAGCCAGGGATTGCAGCTTAAGGATATCCTTCCATGGGCCATGAGCGGCTGCTGCAGATGTGGGATTTGAGTATAGAATGTAAATAAATTGTGCCTTTGAGTGAATGACACCCCAAATTCATGTAAAAAATTCCAAATAGATCTTAGTTAATGGTCAAGAATTCGATTTATCAAAAAAAGAAAAAAAAAGCTCAAGAATTTGATTGGTATTTATAGATACATGTTTGCTTCCCAGAAGTTTCACTCCTCTATTTGCTGCCTTAGGCCCCTCCTTTCACCTCCCTCTGCCACCCATGGCATCCTGATAGATCACCTATTATTCACATATATCCAATCAAGGAAAGCATGTGAGGGGATGGGGGCCCAGAGAATGAGTTAGTTAGGGGGCCCAACTTCGTAACTAAATTTAATGCTGTAGAGTTGTGTGCAACAGGGTATTTAGTGTTAGATAGCTGATGAGAAGGGTGCGCTTTTGGTATGTTAAGACAGTAGAGGTGGGGAAAGACAGAAAGCTGTATAATTCTGTCCTTGGCTTGTACCCCATTGTTAATAAATAATATTGATGTTTATCACTTTGGTATTAGAGTGGTTGTATTATGTGAGGTATCTCACCTTACGTTTTGTTATTCAAAGAACAAAATAGCCCATAGGCAATAACAAAGGGAAATAATCAGCCAATTCGAGAGGGCTGGGAACTCTACTACTGTCCTAGCACCGACTTCCACAATAACAAAAAGCATAACCAATCCCAAGGTCTTTCCCTACAATATATTCCCCCCACCTCAAGTCATCCCTGCAGCTAACTAAGGATGGGAAATCCTCTTTTTACCACTCCTAGAATAATTATTAACAATAGGAGGCCTAACATATTATAGGAGACGACAACGAATAAGCAAATGGATACTAGACTGGATGTAGTGGGGAGCACATGGCAAGAATTCAAAGTACCATGGAGAAGGAAATCAGAATTTTGAGGGAAGTTAATGTACATAACTTTGGGAAAGGAGTAGAATAGCTGGTGAACAAGCGTGTGGATGAGATGGTAAAAAGAAACCCAAAAGAATGTGGAAGGCTAGTGATGTGAGAGTGACTACGATGAATGGGAAAGAGAAGGAGCATCAAGGTAAGGTGCTTTGCTAACTCCCACTTAGCTTTGTAGTTTTATTTTATTTCTATTCACTTCTTTCGG